AAAGGATAGATTAACTAAGCTTTCGTGTCCTGGATGCCTTTTTTCACATTGTCAAAACAAGACTAAAAAAAATGAAAACGATGATGAATTTGTTTGAACTTAATTGACGGAGAATTCGAAAGTAATACATACAGCAACAGCTATCAATTTCTTCATTTCTGATGTGAATATGTATTTATACATATTCACATCAGTGAATATGTATAAATACCTAGTTGTGAATACAAATTTTCTTTGAATTAGACTAAGGAACTCGCAAGTCTCGCTTAAAAAAAAACTGTTATTTTCTAAATTTTTTGTTTTTGGCTTTAGCTTACAAATCCTCAATTTAGCAAAATGTGATAGAGCCGTTTGAGTGAAAAACCGAATGAGTTATTCGAAAGGGCTCACGTCAATCTGTCAGCCCCGGCATATGTCAGGATTGAATAAGCAGGACGACGGAGTACTGTTAAATTACAGTGAACAGTGACATCCATTGATTTTCTGTTAGTGGAACAACTCATGTCCTTTTCGGTAAATTGGAAACCACTTAATAGTTTTGAAAATTGTTGAAGAACCGTGAAAGAGAGCATGTATTTATCTAACAGGTGAAAGGGACGCTGTAATTTGATCAGTTTGTTAATATTTTCCTCGACGTCAAACGACCTAAATAACTTTAATATTTCGTTTGATCATATTTGCATTTCGTGTCATTCGAAGCTTTCTAACACAGCCTTGATATAACCTTCTCTCCTACGCCTCCTAATGGTATCTAACTGTAATGCTTTATTTTTTATGATAACACTGACAACTGAAGGCTAAAAAGGAAGAAAGGGGCCACTACACTCAGCTTCGAACAAGCTTTAATCCTTACTTATTTGGTCACGTGCATCGAGTTGGGGTTTATAACGAAACTTCCGCCTAGAAATATAAACAATTAAGAATAGATCAAGGTGCTTTTTCCCCTATCTTTCTTCATTATTTTTTAACCATTCTTTTAGCTTTTTCCCGTGTTTTAACTCAATCTGATTCACTTTTTTCAATTCCAGTTTCCATTAGTTACAGATGTGTACGTAAAGACTGTCATGGCGTCATACGACCTTCTCACGGGAAGTTTATTTAGATCGACTTTAGCCTTGACAGCGTATAATAGAGCCAGTTTCACCTGGTCACGTGCTAACCTATTGACTGTGTGGAACCAAACGAAGTCGATTGTTTCATTCACCTTCTTTTACTCTAACCGAAAAATATTAAAAAGACAAAGGTTGTTCTAATTTCTTATATCCTATCCACTGCTTTTAAAATGTAAAGGGTTGTATGGTAATAGAATGGTGACAGGCATTGTAACTATTGTGTTGGGTACCTATCCCCAGACCCTCACCGACACAAGTCTACTGTAGGAGGGTGAAGGCAAACTGAGGCTGCTGAATACGTGTATCCAACATCTGACTTATTTGCCTCCCTCCCTTTAACATTCTTCGCTTTGAAGAGAAACGTACGACAGGGCTCAGCAACAAGGATCCGCAGACGCCGTCACGGAAGATTGTGAAAGTGTGGCAGCCACTTGGGCGTCGTCTCAATATCGAAGATGGAAGGCTCACAGCTTTTGACAAGGAAAATGAGCAATTCAACGAGAAAGCCAACAAAATATTACTGCACTGGAAACAGAAAGAAGGTTCAGCTGCAACATTTGAGGTCATTTAGAATGCCTTGTGCCATGAAATTGTAAATCTAAAAGATTAATTAAGCGGAAAATTTTCTTCAATAGAACGTATGAAATTACTGCTTAGGAGTTATTTTTTTCTTTGGTTTTTAAGTGTTAGATGACAATAATATAATAATTTTTTTTATTAACTTTTCTTTTGGTTTATTTATTTATCCAAACCTTAGCAGAACTAGATACAAGGTAAAGAATAAAGTAAAAGATATAAATTCCTTTTTCAACGAAAGAAAACTTATGATATAAAATTACACCAATTAAATTAAGTCACATAGTACATAGGAGGGAGAGGAGAGGGGCACGTCTGAGATAAACTAATATCAGTGTGCCCCTTAATATCATCATTTCTTATCTTAACTCCGCTACTTCAGTTTATCACACCACGGCCGGCTTGTACAGGGTTCTCTCCGTGTAATACACTCAAAAATGAATACATGCCCCGGCAGCGTCAACTGTTACTGCAAGAATTGCAGTAATCCTCTTCTTTTCTTCGCATTCTCGGAAAACTGAGTACCTTTTGGGTACAATCCCAAGATTTGTGGCGTGAACAAACTCGTGAGACATCTTCGTGGTGGTAGGTTTTTAATTTTTTTTTTTTTTATGTTGGAAAATATTAGGTTTTTTTTGTACCAATCTTAGAATGTAAAGGATTTAAGAATGATTCAATCTTTGTCTGATAGTTGTCCCGAATAAGTCTCTAAGGAAGTTACTGTAGTGTCAACAGCATAGAAGCGAAAACAACGACCGCTAGGTTTTACTCTCAAAAATAAGTAAATCGGGGTAATTAGAGAGTGTAAAGTTTAATCCAAATTGAATGTGTTATTAGGATTACATGGTTTAAATGGTGGAAATTGCCATTTTTTTTTTACATGCATCTCAATTTCGTCGTTATAAAATGGAATAGATGCTGTTTTATTAAAATTGCCAAACGAGCCAGCCGAGTGAAGACGCGAGGCTGGCGAGGCGGCAGCATTATAGAGCCGTGCGAAAGTACTGTGCAGTGCTTGGGAACATATTTGTAAGGTAAGATTCCTGAGATTCCAATGACGTAATGGAAAAGAGGTCTATTGTCTTTCAACGGACCAATCATTGTGTGCAGAGATTGTGACGTCAAGCCAGCATGCGAAGCGCAACGGAATTGGCGCGTTGTCATGTTGCTGTTTCTGCTTTTCCTGGTCGTTCAGATGTTTTTCTTCGTTCGATTCATCTAATAAACTTCCATCTATATTTGTCAGCCATTCTGACTGTTAGTAGTCAGAAATATGATTCAAATTGTCTGCCATTTTCTTTTTTTGTAACTTCATCCACTTCTTCCCTATGCGCGATGTAAGAAAACCTATCTAATTGGTTTTCTGGAGTACAAATACCGCGTGATATTTGTATTCGTCTATGGTGTTAATTGTATTCTTCGGAGTGTAGTTGGATAATAAAAGGCATTACTTGTGTTCTGCATTGTCACTCGGAGTTCAAGAATATTGTTTACAATATACCATGCCCATTTGAGGTTATAAACCCTTTTTTAAAATTTGATATAAATATTCAGTTTTTGTCATGCTCGTTGGCACTTAGTGATAGCTACTATTAGTTTATAACAATTTAAAATGGGTACGCAAGCCGAGTCCAAGCGTTTGTTGAAATCCCTTAGTATCCATCAAATTACTCTCAGCAACAGTATTCGAAAAATTAATGATAAAACATTCCGGTGAGATGTTCCCCTATCAGTTCATTCATATTTACAATCTTCGGCCCCATGTTTAATCTGTGCCACAGCGCGAATTACAAACTGGAGGTGGATGAAATTTGTAGATGAAGTAGGATCCACAGTCTTTCGCAAAAATGTCCACCGTGTCCTTGCAATCTGTTTCAAGATCACTAAGACAGACTGTCCAGGTAACTTCCCCATCTTCCACTGAAGGATGATCACCATCCAACCAGCCCGACCAGTCTGCACCACATCTGTATGCTGGCACACGGGTTGTTAGCATATTTGTGCCTGCAGCTCCCATGAAACGATACCATCTCTCAGGGAGTTGCTTGTCACATAAAACTGGAAAATTGGGTGTGACGTGACTGCTTTTCCTTTCAAGCTCGGTCAGTGTTGAGTAGTTATGACAATTATCAACTTGAGAGTTGAAAAAAGAGACAAACAAACAAACGGGAAATGATAATGGTGAATATCAAAGACCTTGAGATTATGACGAGATGACGTTGAGAAGCGCGCGATCGTTTATTCAACTGGCCATGTTTCATTTGGAGTTGAAGTCGCCGGTAGGGGGGAGGGGGCGGGAAGGGACGAAAATGATATCACTCCCAACCTTTTTCAGTGTCGCTCACCCCCTTGCTACAAATTTGTACCCCTCCCCAGCCTTCCACTACCGTTAAATGAAAGATCACAGCAATAATTTTCGTAAGGAAAATACTG